CTCAGGAGGCTGAGGTGGGAGCACTGCAGTTTCGAGGCCAGCCTCAGCAACTTAGAGATCCAGTCTCAAATAAAAAAATAAAAAAGACTGAGAATGTAAAGTGCCCTTGGGTTTAATCCCTGGTACCAAAAAAAAAATTTTTTTTTCATTATAAAAATCCTATATACTCTCTTACACATTCCTTCAGGAAGCAAGAAAATAACAAAAGATGCCTTTGTAATAAGCTATTTATAAACTTTTTAATGGATGGAGCAGCTGACTTTTCTAAGCTCAAGAATGAGGTAGAATTTTCCCAAAAATCTGAGTGGGATATATTTCCCTCATTTCATCAGGTTTGCCCCAACTTGAAAAGGAGACAAGAAAACATTCTGACATTTGCTAGGAATCAACACAGCCTCTTTATTATGAAGTCTATAAAGAGTTCCAAAAATAACTCTTCAACAAGTCATTCAAAGACGCTGGTAAGTCAGGAGGTGATGTGGGCCTGTAATCCCAGGGGCCTGAGCCTGAGGCAGCCTCAGCAACTGCAAGGCCCCAAGCAACTCAGGGAGACCCTGTGTCTAGATAAAATATTACGGGGGGCGGGATGGGGGCACGCCTCTGGGGATGTGGCTCAGTGGTAGTACGCTCACCTAGCATGCATGAGGCACTGGGTTCAATCCTCAGCATCACATAAAAATGAAGTAAAGATATAATGACCAGCTATAACTAGAAAATAAATATTTTTTAAAAAGTACTTCTTACTATCCTACTTAAATCGAGCTCAAAAAATTCAGAAGCATTTCAGTAAAATGCTCCATCCACAATAAGCCATTAATTCTTTAATGGGAATGGAGTACTTTGTTTCCAACTTAGTGTATCAACCTTCTGGAGGCTTATGCCCGGAGCCATGATCACCTCAGATGGGAAGGACACAGGACCTTTAGAAGCAGAAATCCTGCTGACCAGTAACAGGGGCCGCTACCGCTTCCTCCCTCCCTGCTGGGTGGGGTCACAGGAGACTTTGATCACCAAGCAACAGTAGTGAGGCCACCTCTGCTGCAGTATCAGGGAGGCCTCGTGGGGAAGTGGACTCTCACCTGTGCCCAGCAGTAATGAGGTGCCTCCACTTTGGGCATCAGTGGAGACCCACGGGGACACCTGGATTTCCACCTTCATCTGTCTGTAACAAGGCAATGGTGTCCCCACCCCCCTCACCCTATACCTCTCTCCATCAGAAAAGTTGAAACACCAGGGTTAAACAAAACCCAGAGTCTTGTACTATGAAACTGCCAGGGTTTCCACTGAAAGTCACCTAAAAAGCCAAACACCAAACACCATCTCTGAGTGAGAAAAGGCAATCAGCAGCTGCCAGCACCAAGATGACAGAGATGTCAGAACATCCGACAAAGCGTCTCTCTGAAGTTGTGTGATAAAAAATATTTCAATGAGCAATTATCAGCAGCTTGAGCTTGAGAAAAACCACAAGCGGAGAAACAGAAGATGGAAAAAATGCAGTAGCTGAAATAAAAGGGTGACCAGGGGACTCCTGACCTCCCACTTTCTCCGCTGCTCCCTGGCCCTGAGCAGTACGTTTGGTCACTTCCAGCAAGTGCCACCCAGCAGGCCCACCAGATTCCCAAAGCAACGGGTCTGCCTGATCCTGGACTAGAACCTCCAAACTCTGATCCAAAATAAAAATTCTCTTTTTATAAGTCAATCACTTCAGGTATTTTGTTGCAGTGATGAAAAGTTCATAACATAGACTCAGAGCCCAGTAGAGGGAGAGAGGGAGAATCAAGGAGCTGGAGAATCACCCAGTGAGCAGCACTCATCCATAAACAAGAAGGAAGTGACGTCATCTCAGGAAAAGGGACAGAACCGGAGAACGTCATGCTGAGTGAAAGAAGTCAGGCTCAAAAGTCAAGGGTGGAATGTTTTCCCTCATGTGCAGAAGCTAGAGAGAGAGAAAAGAAATAGAAGGGAAAGTAGAGAGGACAGGAAGGACATCAAGGGGAGGGAGAGAAAGGGAAAGAACTGAGGAATAAAATCAACCAAACTATACATGCATGTACGACAGCCTTATGAATCCTCTTTCATGTGTAAACGCAATGCACCAAGGTGGGGAAGTGCGTGTGAGTAAACAGAGGGAGGACCACAGGAATAGAGGAAGGAGAACCGGAGGAGGGAAGGGGGATGGAAAGGAGAAACACCAGGGAATGGACTGGAATAATTATGTTATGTACATATATGTCACAATGAACCCCACTATTATCTATAATTAAAACACACTAATAAATACATTTTTAAAAATTACCCAGCGTAGCCAGGTGCAGTGGCACACAACAGTAATCCCAACAACTCAGGAGGCTGAGGCAAGAGGATTTCAAGTTTGAGACCAGCCTCAGCAACTTAGTGAGAACCTGTCTCAAAATAAAGAGGATTGGGGATGTAACTAAATGGAAAAGCATTCTTGAGTTCAAGCCCCAGTACAAAAAAATTCTTTACTCAGTGTAAACAACAGAAAAAAAGTAGGCTGAAAATTGAATACTTCTTATATATTCCCATGTTTTGTTTGTTTGTTTTTTGAGGAGGTGTACTGGGGGGATTGGACTCAGGAACTCTTGACCACTGAGCCACATCCCCAGCCCTATTTTGTATTTCATTTAGAGACAGGGTCTCACTGAATTGCTTAGCACCTCACTAAGTTGCTGAGGCTGGCTTTGAACTTGCGATCCTCCTACTTCAGGTTCCCGAGCCCCGCTGGGATTATAGGCGTGTGCCACCATGCCCCACTATTCCCATGTTTTGATGTCATCCATCTAACTGTCACTTGTGAACCTTTCCTTGTATGCCGCTGGCCCAACTATTAGACATCTAGAAATTTAACCTAGTGGAAACACTTACACTGATATCCAAAGATACTTGTCTCTTGTGACTGAAGCATGTTTCTAACAGAAAGCCTTGGAGACCCCCCAAGATCATCAGGAAAGGCTCTGCTCAAACAGACCAGCACCCAAGGCGGCACCTAGGCCACTGGTTCAGCCTTCGGCATATGGGTGAGGACTGAGCCACCACATCCCACTGTGGAGTCTGGAGCACCGCGATCATGGTCTAAAACTTCAGCCTCACTTAGGTTTTCCCTTTCTTTAGTGGTAGATGGACATAACACCTTTATTTTTATGCGGTGCTGAGGATCAAACCCAGGGCCTCACACGTGCTAGGCAAGCGCTCCAGCACTGAGCCACAACCCCAGCGCCTAGGTTTTCCCTTTCTTGAATCTTTGTCTAGCAGGACCAGGAGTTTTTGGAACTCTTTCTTTCTTTCTTTCTTTTTTTTTTTTTTTTTTGGTCTGAGCCTATTTTTTCCCCCCAAACTGCCTGCTTCCAAGCTTGGAATATATAAGGCAAAAAAAAAAAAACTGCCAAGAAACTCACTACCATCTCCTCTATTATCCCAGAAGCAAAATCTCTAAGAAGTATTAAAATTAAGAAGCAAAACAAAAATATATAAAATGTACATCTATATAGTGAACTTGACTCAACAACAAAAAGCAATGAAGCTGGGGCTGGGTGGGGGCTCGGCGGAGAGCGCTCACCCAGTACATGTGAGGCCCTGGGTGGGATCCTCAGTACCACATTAGAATAAAGGTATTATGTCCAACTACAGCTAAAAAATAAATATTAAAAAAGAAATGCAATGAAGCATTGATACAAGCTCTATTAACTTCAATGAACTTTACAAACATGTTAAATAAAAGGAGCCCGTCACAAAAGACGATATATTGTATAATTACATTTATATGAAATGTCTAGTGTCCAAAATGGGCAAATTCATAGAGACAAAAAGTAGATTAGGAGCTGGGACTGTAGCTCAGTGACACAGCACCTGTCCAGCTCACTGGACCAGCACCACATAAAAATAAATAAATAAAATAAAGGCATCATATCCACTTGCAACTACAAAAAAAAAAAAAAAAAGTAGATTACTTGTTGCCTAGGGTTTGAGGGTAAGGGGTTGGGAAGTAACTACTAAAGGGTACACAGTTTCTTTAGAGACAGTGGGAGAAATGTTTTAAAATTAGACTGATGATGGATGCTAACTTCTTGCATGTATTAAAAACCACTGATTTTTACCTTTTTTAAATAGGTGAATTGTATGATATATAAATAATATCTTTAATAAAACTGTTTTTGAAATGTGTAGCCAGATGTGGTAGCCCACACCTGCAATCCCAGCAACTCAGGAAAATGAGGCCAGCCTCAGCAACCTAGCAAGGCACTGTGTCAAAATAAAAATAAAAAGGTTTGTGGCTTTAGTTCAGTGGCTAAGCACCCCTGGGTTCAATTCCCAATACCAAAAACAAACAAGCAAAAAAAAGTACAGGCATATTATAAGTATAAATACACGCTGGAGAAGATTTTAATTTGAAGAATATAAATAGTTCTAAAATTGTAATTTAGAAAAATATACATTTCTATATATTCTCAAAAAATAGAAAATCCAAATAATCAGAGAAAACATGAATACTCTCACTGACATAGATATAACCACAGATTTCCAGATCAAGAATGAATCTTGGGCTGGGGATACAGCTCAGTTGGTAGAGTGTTTGCCTTGCATGCACAAGGCCCTGGGTTTAATCCCCAGCACCAAAAAATAAAAATAAAAAAAAGACTGAATCTTAGCATTCATGTGGGTTTGTTCTGATGAAAGCAACGTCTTGTCAGCTTTGTCTGAGGCTCCTCTCACACACTCACTACTCCTCACCACCAGCTTCATCCTCCTTGCTCCAGACCTCTGTTGTTACCCATGGAATTGCATAATTCTGGTATTCAATGAGAAACTGCTAGATTAACTCCTACATTACAGAATCAAGGTCAATGGCAAATGCCATAAATATTTTAATGTTTTACTAAGTCAAGATTAAAGAACTGCTCACTTAGAAAACATAGTTTAATCAGTCTTCAGACAAGTGAGACTTTAACATACCTAAGAGGGAGAGTTTTAACTTTGCTCATCTCTTTCTTTGCACCCATGGGACTGGGGTGAGGGGTGATGATGGCTGGGGAAAGAGAGAGAAAAGCTGGGACCTAAAGGTAAGAGTGGGCTCCTGACCACTAAATTATTTAACTGCACACATTTGCTAGGGAATATGCAGAGCAAAGTGTTGCTAAAGAATAACCTAAAAACTGCAATACCCCATTTACGCTTAATGTGGATTCTGTTGATTTAAGTGAGAAGAATCATCAAAATGGCTTAATTAACTTACAAGTCACAAACCAACAGGGTAAATGGAAAATTCATCTGGCCTCTATTACTGATTTCTTTAGGATCTGTGTTAAACACATGCTGAAGCCAACATGTAGAGCCTAAAGATTTAATAAGCTGTTGTCTTTCTATAATGTCTGCAGAGTGTGCAGGAAGTAACAAGGTTTCGAATCAAATTTCTGAGTTTGAATCCTGACCTCACAACTTAGTTATGTCACCTTTAAGAAGTTACTTAACGTCTATGAAACCACTATACAATCATTACGGGGATCACATGGGTTAGGGTACACACAGCTCCTGGCACATGGTAAGAGTTTAAAAAATGTTGCTTGGGGAAAAAAAAAAAGTTGCTTGGCTTTAAAGATGCTTCAGGTATGGAACCCAGGGCCTATCAACAGTTTTGTTAGTTCAAACCCCTGGTCATTAGAATCCCTACATTACTTTAGCTTTCAGAAAACAACGAGGGGAAAGATCTAAGTATATTCCACACTTAACTCCCTTAGCTGATGAAGTATGTTGTGACCCTGTGCTTTAAGAAACAGTGTCCATAAAGTTTCATCCACTGAATGGAGTGAGCAAAGATATTATTTATGTAGGATGTCAAAAATCTCTGGTCCTGCACAGACTGTACCAATATTTCCTGACCATAACCATATCAAAGAATTAAAATTCAATAAAGTCAAATGATAGGAAATAGAAGAATTATGACCCTCCCAAGCTCTTACCATGTAAATAAAACCCAGTCCAGGACAAGACAACGGAAAGACTTGGGTTGCTACCATTTCCTTGTTCAGCATTACCAACTCATAAAATCTACTCTCCAAATAAGAGCCTGTGCAATTGAGAGAGGAACAGATGAGTGTGAAGTGACCCAAGGATCCCACCTACCAGGGGGAGCGGCAGCTCTGGAGGGTCTCTTGGAATCCACATAGAATATTCACCTTAACGAACTCTCCACTCTACCACAACAAGCTCCCCACATGCACTAATCTGGTTAATCCTTATTTCCACTCACTCAGCGGGGAATGGTAGTTAAGAGCACTGATCTAGAGCCAGCCACTCAGACAACTCCACCATTTCCTAGCTAAGTACTCTAAGAAGTAATTTGGCCTCTCTGGGCTGTTTTCTTCTTATAAAACAGGGACTATATCAGTACCTTCCTCAGTGGATTGTATGGGAATAAAGGAGCTAATACACACCAAGGGCTTAGAAGAACGCAAGGCTCCAAAGATGAGGGTGTAGCTCACTGTACACATACTCTTTCATTCTTTCCGATATTTATAATATGGACATGCATCTTTCATTTTAAAAAAGCAAGCAAACAAAAACCTTTCTACCCCAAACATATTAAAATGAAGGAAAACACAAGTCACAGAATGACTATGGGAAAGCTCTAAAGATAAAGGGCATCTATGTAACAGAATTATATAGGACGTGGAAGAATCCTCAAGCAGCAGGTTTAAATGGAGACTACCAGATCTCCCTTCAGATGCCTGCTTTCAGTAGGCTGAGCGGGGCCTAGGAACCTGCAATCTAACAAGCCCTTCACGCAATTCTAATTCTGATGCATTTGGTGGGCACACCATATTTCATAAACACTGACAGGGAAACAAGCAAAAAAAAAAAAAAAAAAACTGGAAAGGGTTTGCTCCATGGTTAAACTTTGAATCCCTCTCGATGTCTTTTGGACTCTGCTCTTCATAGATCAGTAACCTGATCGCTGTTTGACATTGTCATGCTTGGTAAATAACAGTTCCCTCCCTGCTGCTAAAGGAATGTCAACCTACCTTTGCCTTAAACTTGGACAAACCCAAACCTAAACCAAGCCAGCTTAGTACCCTGTAAGATTCAGACAGTCAAATTCAAAAACATTTTTATTTCACATGAACTAAAAAACAAAAGTGAGAACTTTTTAATGCAAACCAGTATGACATTAATGTTTCTAAGAATTTTGGCTTAAAAACTAAATATAGTGTCAAGGACAATTTTGGGGACCCAGAATTCTTTATAGATCAAGTGCTGTGGGATAGTTATATCCAGTTTAAAAGAACAATCACAAATTTTATACTATAATTTACACTGCTAAATGTTGTAGCTGGTCAGGAAGAGAAAGGATTCTGTTGTAATAGGGGTGGAACCAATACCTGACTTGTTGCAAAACAGGCTAAACTTTCCATCTAGAAGCTACTAACCATGGGTAAGTTACTTAATCTTTTTGGGTCTTGGTTTCTTATTCCAGGAGCGGGGTGGGAGACTGATTTATTGAAGTTGATAACTGTAATGTAAAAACAATGTATATACAGGACACATCCTACTTACTGGAGTACTTGGGGGAAAAAAGCCATGGGGTATGCAACTGACAGGGAAACAATAATAAGGGCAAATGTGGTAAAATGTTAACAATATGTAAACAAAGGTAAAGGGTGTTCTTTGAATTGTTATTCTTGCAACTTGTCTGTAAATTTGAATTTATCTCAAAATAAAGTTTTTTAAATTATTAATCTAGTTTCTACATTAGCCCTAATAGCTTCTAACTATATTAGAGCTCACTTTAATTGTACCACTGAAATATTATCTCCTGATTTTCCTGATTAATAATTTTTCTCAAAAATAAATTGAGGGCTGGGGTGGTGGCTCAGTGGTACAGCGCTTGCCTATCATGTGTGAGGCACTGGGTTTGATTCTCAGCACCGCATACAAATAAATAAAGATTCATTGACAACTAAAAACATAATTTAAAAAAATTAAGCCATCATCTTTCTCAAAAACATAAGTCCCCAAATCATCTGGGAACTAACAGAGCACAGAAGGCACTACAGCAAATTGATAGTTGCCTGCCCAACACCCATGCATTCTTATCATTTTTTGATGATAGGACACCTATTTTTGATCAGCATCCATTCCTCCCTCTTCCCAGGACTGCAGGCGATGATGATCCAAACCCCAACCCTAGGGCAGTTCCTGACTGATTCTAAGTCGGTTTTGATAATTCTATTCGCCTTGCCACTGACTGATTTAGACATAATCATGGGACCCAGTTCTAGCTATTAAGACACAGAGTCTCCCAGGAAAAATTTCTAACTCTTAAGGATTCTAGCAGAGGAAAACCTTGGATGTGAAACCTGTGCAGACTTGACAGTGGCTTGAGGACAAAACCAACACCAGAAGACAGAGCCAAGAGAATCACAAGCAAGTGGACCCTGGCAGGCAACATGCACATGGAGCTCTTCCTAGACTTCTTTCGTCATTAGAGCTGATCTGAATTGGGGTTTTCTGTTATTAACAATCCTAAGTATCCAAACCAATGTTGTCATTTATCTCTAATTAAGATTAGCAGGAAGGGCTGGGCAGTAGCTCAGTGGTAGAGTGCTGGCTTAGATAGCATGCACCAGGCCCTGCATTCCATCCCTAGTACCATTTAAAAAAACAAACAAAAGAAAACAAAAAAGAAAATCAAGCAGTAAGAATGAAAATATTTAAATGTGGTAAAGAATGAAAAAAGAGGGGCTGGGGATATCACTCAGTTGGTAAAGTGCTTGCCTTACATGCACAAGGCCTTGGGTTCAATTCCCCAGCACCAACAAAAAGAAAAAAAAAAAAGAATTAAAAAAAAAAAAAACTGGGCTGGGGATGTGGCTCAAGTGGTAGCGTGTTCGCCTGGCATGCGTGCGGCCCGGGTTCGATCCTCAGCACCACATACGAACAAAGATGTTGTGTCCGCCGAAAACTAAAAAAATAAATTAAAGGGCTGGGAATGTGGCTCAAGTGGTAGCGCGCTCGCCTGGCATGCGTGCGGCCCGGGTTCGATCCTCAGCACCACATACGAACAAAGATGTTGTGTCCGCCGAAAACTAAAAAAAAATAAATATTGAAATTCTCTCCCTCTCAAAAAAAAAAATAAATAAAATAAATTAAAAAAATTCTCTCTCTCTCTCTTTAAAAAAAAAAAAAAAAAAAAAAAAACTTTTTTTTTTTTGAAGTGGGAGCAGGTACTGGGGATTAAAATGCCTTACCACTGAGCCATATCCCCAGCCCCACCCACTTTTTTGGAGAAAGGATCTGCCTCCCTAAGTTACTTAGGGCCTCACTAAGTTATAAAACTTGCCATCCTCCTGCCTCAGCCTCCTGAGTTGCTGGGATTACAGGTATGTGCTACTGTGCTTGGCTAAAAAAGGAAACTCTTTATATGAGTAAAGGGGAAATAACGGCATTCCAGGGCTCTTGATTTGTCTATAACTAATTCTATTCTCCATAGATTTCAATTTTAAGACGGTATTTTCCTCTGAAGTTCACAGTATGGGCTTTCTTTCCTCAGTCACATAGCACCTTACAGAAACCTCCTTACCTAGGCCCCAGATAGGGATACTCCACATCCAACATATATTTACTGAAGGTCCACTATCTTCGAAGCACTGTAGTTGGCCCACAAGAAACTACTGGGAGTGAGAAAGATAAGATCTGGACTCATGAAACTTAAGATTTTTGTGGAAAAAAAATAGCATATCAAGTTAAAAACTGTAAACTGTGGTTAAGTGTCTAAAGGAAACAAAGTACTCACAGGAAGGACAGAAGCACCTACTTTAGATAAAATGTCACGGCTGGGTGTGTTGGCGCACTGTAATCCCAGTTACTAGGAGGCTGAGGGAGGAGGATCACAAATTCAATGCCACTCTCAGCAATTTAGGGAGGCCCAAGCAACTCAGCAAGACTGCCTCAAAATAAAATATAAAAAGGGTTGGGGATTCAGCTCAGTGGTAAAGCACCCCTGGGCTGAGTACCCAGTAACCACACACACACACACACACACCCCGCCAAGAAAAAAGATGGTCATAGACAATCCTTTTCACCATGCCAATCTAGTCTGAGACTAGACTGTTGTGAGTACAACAGGAAATGGTACTGGCAGGGGCCAGATCCTGAAAGACTGTCTAGATCAAATTAAAGAGCAAATTTTACACTCACAGATACAACGATTTATTCATTCATTTGAAAATGTTTACCAAAGCCTACTTTTAAATAAGCATTTAATATGTGTTTAACAGCAAGGACTGAAAGCAGAGTGCCTGGTTTGACATGGAAGTTCTTCTACTTACCCATCTGTGGTACTGGGTACTGGGCAAGTTATTTCACCTCTCTGGGCCTGTTTCCTTATAACAGAGGAAGAATACCTACTTCGTAGAGTTATTATGAATATTAAATGAGAATGTGGAAAGTTCTTAAAATACTTCCAGTATGTGATGAGCTCTCAGTAAAATGAGCCATAGGAAAACACTTCCAACTTCATGAACTCCTGGTAGAGAGAAGGGTGAAGAAGGCCAGTGAACAGGACGAGAGCTTTCCACTGAAGGACAAGGACGTGAGGACAGGAAACACTGTTCTGCGTTCAGACAACAGGCAGGCCAGGCACGTGGAGCTGCTGCGAGTAGAGGCTGGAAGCCCTACTGCCAGCTGTCACCGAAACGTGGGCTGGATTAGGAGACGCAAGAGAGAGAGAGAGAAACATGGCTTCAAATGAAGAGGGTACAATCCTAGAGACTGTGGATTGTTTGGATGAGAAAGTAGAGAGAAAGAAACCAAGCTAGGCCAAGCAGTTCACACCTGTAACCCCAGCTACTCAGGAAGCTGTGGCCTGGGGCAAGGTCAAGGCCACCCCCCACCCCCAACTCAGCAAGACCTTGCCTCAAAATAAAAGGTAAAAAGTGCTGGGGAGGCTGGGGGTGTGGCTCAGTGGTAGAGCACTAGCCTAGGACAGGTGGCCCTGGGTTCATCCTCAGTACCACATAAAAACAAATAAACAACAAATAAATAAAGGTTAAAGTCTTAAAAAAAGGGGGGGGGGGTGGCGAGTGACGTACCCCAGTGGTAGAGCGCCTGCCTAGCATGCACAAGCCCCTGGGTTCAGTCCCCAGAACAGGAGGGGTGGCGGGGGAGAAATTCAATGTCTCCTAAACGTCTGCTTTGAGCAACTGAGTCCAGGAAAGCCTCAAAATGGGAGCAAGGTGCCTGTGAGATGCTGAAGGGTGGAAAGGGAAATTCCGTCACTTGTGGGGTTTATTTGTTTCCTTTTTAAAATGAACATATTTTGTTTTTCTTTAAGATTTAAGAAAATACTGCAGATGTTTGATCTCAATTCTGTCCCTAATAGCTGCAAAAATATTAAAATTCTTAAATAAAATATAATTTCTTGAATAAAAAATGAATGTAGTTGATGAAAAACTACTAACTGAAAATAATGGAAGAAATTAATGTCAGTTGAGAAAAGATTTTAAGTATTTTTATTTCTTATTTAAAGCAAATGCTAAAGATGAAAATGAAGGCTTTAATCTGTACTAAACCGAATCTGAAATGTCTCGGCTGGAATCATTTTTAAAACCAAAGTGTAGGTGTGCAAGGAGCGCACTTCCCATCTACGCACAACAGAACCGGGATGAAAACTCTCAATTCTGCTTTTGGCATGCTCGTATCAAAAGCCTGAGCCAGGAGGAGCAAAGTCTACTATTTATTCAGAACAAATTATAAAACATATAATTAAAAGACTTGATCTTTAAAGGTAACATCTCCTCCTTTCACAGAGGATCCACATTTTTTTTCTTCCAAATTCTTCAGTACAGATACTGTTAGTCTGGGGATACAGCTCAGTGGTAGAGCACTTGCCTAGCAATGCACAAGGCCCTAGATTTAATCCCTAATACCACCAAAAAGTGGGGGGATCAGTGGGGGGTACAAAACAAAACCTGACTGACATGAAGAAAGTGGGAGGGGGTTGAACAAGAATACAGTCATTGTCCCTGTCTGGATCGACCTTGATTGTACTCCCTATAAAATACCAATCAGAATGAATCAAAATGTTGCCAAAACTTTCTGAAAATAAGACAGCTAGCAGTTTATTTCTCACTTGCTATGCCCCATATTCACTGTCCACATATATTTCACCCCACAATAGCCATATGAAGTTGGGTATTGTTTTCCTCATGCTCAGATGAAGGAACTGCAGTTAGAGAGGCCAATTAATCTGCCATAAGTCACACAACTGAGGAGGGCAGAACTGAGTGTCTGAACTCCAAGTTCCACAGTATTAGCTGTCAAGATGTGGGTTCTTATCCTGAGGCTCAGGAGATGCAAGAATCACACCTGGTTGGTCTCACAGTTCTTATGGCATAACTCACATCATTATCAGCAAGATAAATTTCCTAAACTATATTCAATATAATGGGGGTCACAAATGTTATTTTAATTTTTCTAGTAGTCACATTGAAAATGTAAAAAGAGTGCTCCCTTCAGCAGCACATACGCTAAAATCAAAATGATACAGAGAAGATTATCATGGCCCCTGTACAAAAATGACACAAATTCATGAAACAGCCCACATTAAAAAAAAAAGTTTAGGCATGGTAGTTCACACCTGTAAATCCCAGCTACTAAGGAGGCCAAGGCAGGAGGATTCCAAATTTGGGGCCAGTCTGGACAATTTAGTGAGACACTATTTCTATTTTCTCAAAACAGAAAATAAAAAGGATTGAGGATGTGGCTCAGTGATAGAATGCCACTGTATTCAATTTAAAGAAAGAGAGAAAAAGAGAAAGAGAGAGAAACAGAGAGGGAGGAAGGAGGGAGGGAGGGAGGGGGAGGGAGGAAGAAAATGAAAGAAAGGTAGGTAGTGTAATTAAAGTAGTATTTTTTAACACAATACATCTACAATATCATTTCAACATGTAATCAACATAAAAAGTTATTACATTCTTTTCTTTGTACTAAGTCTTCAAAATCTGGTGTATATGGTATAATTACACAATTCAGACTAGACACTTTGAAGCACTCAGTGGCCACACACGGGTGGTGCTCACTGTGGTGGCCGGCACAGTCTAGAGAACCAGCCTCAGGGCAACTCACACTCCTCACGCAACCTCACACAACCACACACAAAGGATCAGGTGCCTGACTCACTAAACCAACACTCAAGCTCTCGGAAATACTTACTCTTACTTCAAACAAATTTTAACAAGTTTATTTAGCTGTTTTATTGAACACAACACGTTGCAATAGAAAATTAAAGGAAAGAGAGTACATCAACAGAGCTAATTTAGCAAAGAAAAACATACACACAGAGATGCTCTTACAAAAAGAGGTTTAAAGTGTTATGGCTGAGGCCTTTGAGGAGGAAGGAAAATAATCTCACATACTAAGACTATTAGTGCATTACTGAATTTATATTCAGAATGCTGACATTAATTAACAGTTAAACTCAGCATTTTAAGAAGCCAATGAAGCACTGACATATTTTAGAAATATTTTTACTTAAAACCAATTTAAGAACCATACTATTTTGCAATTTTTTATAAATCTAAAATTTAAAAATTTATTTAAAAATTATTTTGAGACTTCTGGTATGGCCAACCAGTTACTAAAGGACTAACCCTCTACCTCTCAAAACAGCTTAATGTCTATATAAAAATGACCACTTGAAGGTCCTGGAGATTGAACAAGAGCAGGCAGATGTTGGAAGGGAGTTGACACTTTGAAGAAGGAGCTGTACTGATCAGGTTTCCTATTTTCATCTTTTACCCTTATGCCACACAGGGCAGCTAATGGGAAACTCATAGTCTCGCTGGCATGCAAAACCAAAGAATAGTCCAGAACTGCCAACGGCACTGAAAAATAAGAGCGCCATAAATAAAAAGAAAGCCAAAGAAGGGGAACCCTAAAGTCTGCATAAAACTCTGTCCAAATCTCTGGCTGATCTCTGAAAAACCACACACACACACACACACACACACACACAGCAGACTCCATGTAGCTCAGCTAAAAGAAAATGAAATCTAAGTTACCATCTATCAAAGGAATAGCATTTTGCATTTTCAATTCAGTTAACTGCCTACTTTAAAAAAAAAAAAAAAAAGAGCTGGCATGGTACACATCTATAATCCTAGCAGCTTGGGGGGCTGAGGCAGGAGAAGCACAAGTTCAAAGCCAGCCTCAGCAATGGCAAAGTGCTAAGCAACTCAGTGAGACCCTGACTCTAAATAAAATACAAAATAGGGCTGAGTTCAATCCCCAGTATTCCCAAAAAAGAAGGAAAAAAATCAGTACTCTTCAGAGGAACATAACAAAATCCAAAGTTTCTACAACTTGTTACTTATTGTTATCAGAAACAATAAAAATTATTCCTCATAGAAGCAAGAAAACATTACCCATTCTCAAACAAACAAAAAAATCAGAGACATACCCTAAGATGACCAAGAGTCTACAGAATATAAAGCAGTTATCACAACTATGCTCAGAAACAAAAACAAAAATATGCTTTTACTAAAGATAGAAAATATCTATGGAAGCCAGGCAAGGTGGCACATGCCCGTTATCCCAGTGACGCAGGAGGTTTAACATTAGCCTCACAATTTAGTGAGATTACATCTCAAAATAAAAATAAAAGGTTGGAGATGGAGCTCAGTGATAAAGTGCCCTTGGATTCAATATTCAGTTCTGCAAAATAAAAAATAATAATAATAAAGATTTTTAAAAGAAGATGGTGAAGACGATGAGGAAGGAAGAAAGACAGGCAGGCAGGCAGCCCAGTTTTTCCAAATAAGGACAAAGTTACAGACTCAAGAAGTCTCCTGAAGGGCTGGGGTTGTGGCTCAGCGGCAGAGCGCTCGCCTAGCACGTGCGAGAAGCTGGGTTCAATCCTCAGCACCACATAAAAACAAAAAAACAAATTAAACGTATTGTGCCCAACTATAACTAAAAAAAATTTTAAAAAATTCTCCTGAACATTAAAAAAGGTTAAAATAATCACCCAGGTTTAATGTAATAAAATGCTAAAAGCAGCCAGACATAGCAGCAAATACCTTTAATCTCAGCGACATAGAAGGTTGGGCAGGAGAATCTCAAGTTCCAGGCCAGCCTCAGCAATTTAGGGAGAACTGTACCAAAAAATAAAAAGTACTAGGGATGTAGTTCAGTAGTAGAGCCCAATGGGTTCAACTGCTAGAACCAAAAAGGGGGAACAAGGTAAAAAGCAAAGGAAAAAGAAATCTTTAAAATATCTAGGAAAAAAATTACACACTACACACAAGAGGGTAATGGTCTGAATGACAGCTGAATTCTCATCAGAAATAATGAAGGCCAAGACTGGCATGGTGGGGAGGCTGAGGCAGGAGGATCGACTTCAAAGCCAACCTCAGGAAAAGCGAGGCACTGAGCAACTCAGTGAGCCCCTGTCTCTAAATAAAATACAAAATAGGGCTGGGGATGTGGCTCAGTGGTTAAGAGCCCCTGAGTTCAATCCCTGGTACCCTCCCACACCAAAAAAAAAAAAAAAAAGAAAGAAAGAATGAGAGCCAGAAAACATAAAAAGTCCAAACACCATCCTATATAAACTTCTTTAAAGAACAGAAGTGAAGTCAAGATATTTTCAGGTAATGATTCAGAATGTCAATGTTCAGGACTTAGATAAGTAACTTTCAGGACTACAGAACATTAATTTGTATTTATTATTATTGTTTTGTTTTTAATAAAGAAACATACTCCGTTTATAACTAGTTATTCTTCACTTTGGTCACATCCAAAAAAAGTGCATCCCAAACTTTTCCATGGTCTAAACTTCTTCGTCCAAGTTTTGTTTGGGGGATTTTAACCCAGGGGGCTTTATCATAGAGCCACACGCCTAGCTCTTTTTATTTTTTTTATTCTGAGCCAGGGTCTTGCTAAGTGCTCAGGGCCTTGCTAAATTGCTGAGGCTGGCTTTGAACTTGCAATACTCCTATCTCAGACTCCCTAGCCCCTGGGAGTACGGGCATTTGCCACCACACCCAGCTTCTAAGCCACATTTTTTTTTTTAAATATTTATTTATTTTTTTTAGTTTTCGGCGGACACAACATCTTTGTTTGTATGTGGTGCTGAGGATCGAACCTGGGCCGCACGCATGCCAGGCGAGCGTGCTACCGCTTGAGCCACATCCCCAGCCCTCTAAGCCACATTTTTAACATATCTTCTGCCTAAGATCAATTCACTAACCGCTGGTGTTTTCCTTTGTTTATCAACTAAAAACAAATGCATTAGAAGGATAGATGAAATTCTTCTGTCAAGTCAAAAATCCAGCAACCCGTTTTCCCTGAGGGCAGTTTAAAAATACACCCGCTGTGTATAAACTAGATTCAGAAAAAATCGTAAGAATGAAAGAAAATAATGAATTGTTCCAGAAAGACCCCGCTTCCCCTGTATGTGCTACCAGCAGCTACCCAAACACAGTGAGCAACAGCTAGGTCCCTCACCGAGCTCCAGACCAGTTTAACTAGACATGCCATCAAGAGTTCAGCAGTGGAGTCAAAATTCCAGTTTCTCCTTTTGTAGAACAATCTAAATTCTCCAGGCAAAAATAAAGGATTCGGAGATAAATGAAAGTGCAAGGATACACTTTAGAAAAAGAACTACATGACATGGATATGCACAGAGAATTGACTTTAATTATGTACATCACAAGAGTTTAATAGCTAAATTTTGGACCTCTAAATAACTAAGAACAGTAGATTAATGATGACAATAAAAGATTACAATCATGCAAATACTACAGAATATTTTAACGTAAAATATTAGCACTCGATAAGCATATGACCAAATGAATATTTCTCAGGTATTGTATTTTTTAAAATTTTTTCATTAGAAGTATTACAAAATAAGTTTCTTTTAAACTTACATATTTCAGCTGTGAAAAAAAATATTATTCAGAATAATAGTATATCTTTGGCCCGGCCTAAAACTTCTCATAACTGAAGAGCACAAGACAGCATGTTTGCTACTGAGATTTTTTTTTTTTTAACTTATCATTTCAGTGCATAAGTGCTCTAAATATTATAAAGGCAAATTCAAACAGTATAGTTCTGTGTCAATTTTAGTTTAGATAAGACAAACAAAATCATCCCTTTATCGTCCAAGTAGTTTATTTGAAAAAATATATTTTTGGGGCGGGGTGGGGGGTACCAGGGATTAAACTTAGGGGCACTGACCACTGAGCCACATCCCCAACCCTATTTTATATTTTATTTACAGACAGGGCCTCACTGAGTTACTTAGCACCTCACTGTTGCTGAAGCTGGCTGTGAACTTACTGTTCTATTCTCCTGCCTCAGCTTCCCAAGCCACTGGGATTGCAAACATGGGCCACTGAGCCTGGTTAATGAAAAATATAATCTTTTTATTCAAAGAATTCACTCTTGAAATCAAGTTTCATTTCCCTGGCAACACGCCTCCATTATCACTAAACATTTATTGGCTCTATCTCTATATGTGTCTGCTAATAGACTATGTCTAACTATGAGGATTTAATTCTCTGGCTCTGACTTCAAATTTTCAGGTCTCAAGCTTTCTGTCTGGGCCTCACACTCAGGCCTAAGGCTAGCAACCTTGGCATCCACGTGGGCCAGACCAGACGCCACCACTAAGAAACATGCAGGCTTTACTGAGGAAAACAGCAGCAAACTGGTCCAGGTACATGCCAGGGTTGAACCTGGCCTTCCAGTTATGTAATTTGAAGATTCTAATCCTCTCTACCTATCTGTTATTAAGTTTAGACCAATGGCTATAAAATGAGCAGCTAGCCAAACTCAAATAACATGTCTTGAGTTTGAAAATTGAACACTACCTCTACCTCTGGTATTTTACCATGAGGTAATATAGAACACCACACTAGAAACAGACGTACTATTTTATTAACATGCTTCTATTCCTGTACTGTGCATACCAATTTGCCCCAAAATGCTAACAGATGTTTACTGAATTAATGAACTATCTCATCTATCACGGTTTGTGGTAGGTGGGGGATATAAAGGATAAAGAAAACAGTCTGATTCCAAAACTCCTGGAATTCACATTCTAGCCAGAGAAAAAGATAAAAGAGGATTCAGATGAGTAGCAGAAAACAAAAATGCACAACTGCTTCAGAAAGACAGCAGGAAGGTCCAGCTCTGCTGAGGGCTCGGAAGTTATTTAAACTGAAGATATCTGGGTTCATGAACTGCCTCCCTAAAAAACTCTTGAAATCCATTAAGCTAAACTTTGTACTGTTCGTTGCATTTCAAACTACTTTTAATAAAATCTGCCATAAACATATAGAATTCTTCCCTTCAGAAACAGCACATTCATAAGTAGCTGAGAGCCCTGGCAAGCTCGCAAAGAGCTCTAAGGAGGACCACAAGAGCTGAAAACCGTTATTGTGAGTAAGAATGCTTTGGGGAGCTTTCAAAAGTCCTTATTGAGAACAACATGTGCTCTGGCCAGAAACAGGAGATTTAATCCATCATTCTGTTTCTACTACAATCTTTAAAACCAGCCAATCAGAAGAAATCCTGTTTACCACTTAGCCACAATGGGATCTAACTTAAATGGTCAAAAGCTGAATAACTCAAGAAAGCATTAAGTGAAGCATGTTTCTTACATGAGTTCAGCCTCCTGGTAAAAATTCCTGTAACAAAAGCTGAAGGATAAGACTACTTTAAAAAAAATTAGTGAGGGCAAAATAACAGGGTCAAGAAACTAAAAGAAATTTTAATTATTTGCCTTACAGAATGATTCCTTGTAAATGGTTTGGCTTTTATTTTTTTAAAAGGGGCAAAGGCAGGCTGACCACAGGACAATCAGTTTGGTAACTTTTTAAGTAAGCCAAAAGTAGGAGGGATAAAAGACCAATTCAAAAGTACTGGCTGATCTCATTAGTTCGGCCTAAAAAACTTTATAGATGTGACTTCACTCTTGGATTACAACTCTAAATTTAGTTTATACCTAATATGGATGAAGTCCTGAACTAACAGCCATTTCCTCTCTCCACAAAAAGAAACTTCCTTACTATTTTTTTTTTCTATCAACAATGGAAAGTGTAGGCTCCTCTGAAGGGGAAGGAGCTTAGGAAGAAAGAACTCAGAGGAAAATATTAACAAATTAATATGTGATTTTTGCTGAACTTGGACTACTCTGACATTTCTAAATTGGAAAACAACTTTAAAATCAAAATATGTGGTATTCAAGTCAGGTTTCTTCAACAAGTATATAAATAAATGCTTTAAAATATTAATTAACTAGGCCTCCAAAATGCAAAGAAGTGAGATGATAAAATGTTAGTTTCCTTTAAAATTTTACCAAGTGAGGCTAAGGGGGGCAGCTCCGTGGTAGAGCAATTGCCTGGCACACTCAAAGGCCCTGGATTCAACCCCAGCACCACAAAAAAGAAGATTCAGGCCTGGAATCACAATTTGTTACTTACTGGCCCTGATCATACACAAGCAATGGCCTCTCTAAACCTCTTGTATACAGTAGAATCGACAGCACCTATTTCAGAGTTTATGTGAGGATCAAATTAGCTAACATGTAAAAAGTTGGCATATTGTACCAGACCCATAATAGTACCCAATGCTATGGATAATCTTTTGATTATTATCCTAGCTTTAACAGGGAAATTAACAACTACTGTTCGTTTTTTAGGTATCAGTTCACTATATCCTATTTAGGGACAAAATTATGTAGTTTTAAGAAGTTTATAACTTAATATATATAATAAATAAAGATTTTTAAAGTCACTTTATGACCCTTACTTATCTCATCTATCAATTACAGCCATGCTAACATTTTAAAGCTCTATCACCATTGTAACCATGGTATAAGGTTAAAAAAAAAAATTAAGCCACATGCAGTGGCACACACCTGTAATCCCCGCTCTGGAGGTGAGGAAGGAGGATCACAAGTGTGAAGCCAACTTGGGCAAACTCTGTGAAAACTTGTCTGAAATCAGAAAATAAAAAGGGGCTGGGATGTAGCTCAGCAGTAGAGCATTTGCCTACCATGTGCAAGGCCCTAGGTTCAAATTCCAGCACCATACAAAACAATAAATTTAGGGTCAAGAAATACATGAATTAGGAGACTTCGACTCTATTGCTATATCATACATTACTCCTGTTTACTTCTTTTGTGCTTTCAGAAAGAAAGAAAGAAAAGAAAAGAAAAAAGAAAGGAAAGAAAATAATGGCCTCTGCTTTGGTTACAAGTCCACAAAGAGCTGCTGAAGCAAATGGAGTAAAACAGTGATTCAGTTGGACTGTCCTTTAGCATAAACAGGATCACGGTCACTGAAATTAACTCAGGAATAAGTTCAAGTCTAATCTTGGATTTTTTTTGTACTAACCCTGTATCTGAGAAAGCGTAGCAAGTTCCCCACATCGTGTGGCGGCAGCCTGGCAGATACTGCACTTCATAACATCCTGGAGGTTGAAAGTACATATATTGAAGACATAAACTAACCAGGGCCAGCACAGCCTTGGCGCCACATTCCCAAAGGCCGAATAACATACACAAACAAGGTTGTGTCAGACTCTAAGTGCTTCTCTTTTATTAACTCTTTTGAACTCCACAAAAACCCAAGAGATAAGACACTATTACCCCAATGGAGACACTAAGGCACTAAATGAAGGGTATAAAGAACCAGGATCAAACAAGCTGTCTGGCTGGAAAATTCACCACTACACTCCAACAGCAAAACACTGGATCCAGTGTTCTATATGTCAGCTCATCTGCAAACCTGAAATAGTAATTCTAATGATTTGAACTCTAAAATGAACCATTTCAGTGTCTACATGGAGAATATAAGTAATCCTTCAGGTCAACAACTATCCTCTGGCTTTGACTTTGAGATCTTAGATCTCAAACATCACAAAGATGGAAAGAACCTTTTTACAAGCAACACCTAGGCAACACTATAAACCTAAGTCAGGGTCCCTGTTGAGTTATCAAGACAGTAAATGCCACCACTGATCTAAATCCCAATGGTGGGCAGGTCGCAGGCGCACAGTCATGGACTCTCCTGTCAATCTTTTTTACTTTACAAGGAAGAAAAATCTGTTCATTTCAATCTAAAATAAGAGTCCTTTTGAGGCACTGCACCATAACAGCAAATATGAACTGAGTCCAGGGAGTTGCATGACCCTCATGGCCTATTTCTCTGGCTTCTTGTATTAGTATTTCTGTGAATTTTATAGGCATTTGCTTTTCCAATCGCATGATCTTTTATTTCTTCTTTTCCCAGTAACCTCTTCTGGAATTAAGCTTGTGCACGGGGGAAAGAAAACTTCTGTACATTCCTTCAGCAAACATTTTACTGACAACTGAATGGGATAATACACATAATGCAGTTACCACAGCATCTGAGACATGGAAAGTACTCCACAAATGTTTATGTTAGTTCTATATATTTCTTGCAACATGCACTTGGGAAATGCAACATAAAAATAAGTCAGAGGGAATAAGCAGTCATCTATACACACACATCAGATCTTGGTAGAAGTAAAAAAGCTTCCCAGGCAGAGAGTTGCGATGAGTCCCTGGAAAATATTTTCCCAGCTGCAGTGATGGTACAGTGTTCCTTCCTACATTATGGCTCCTATCTGGGCTGCTGGAGCTTGAGAGCATATTTTCTCTGCTTCCCCAGGGCCTAGAGCAGTTTCTGGTACTTAGTAGACACTGAAGTACAGGCTTGTTTAATGGATGACTGCTTAAACTGGTACTAATTTGTACTCTCCGTATTTACGGAACAAAAGAAGGAGGAGGAGACAGTGAGAGGGGACCCAAATACAAAATAAATACAAAGGAATTTAGGGCTTTATTGGTGAGTCCTAAATTTGCTTAAGGTATCATTTTTAACAAGACAAAGGAATAGGTTTTGGCAGAATCCAGATGCCCCAGCATCATCGCCTTCTTCCGACACCACGGTTAAAGGAATATCTGCCAGAAATAAAGGGAGGAAGCCATGTTACCAATTCTGTGACGTGACAGAGGATACAAGAAGCATAGGGGAAATTTTAAGAGGTCAAAATAAATGCTGAAAGCCAGATTTTATTCAAGCTTGAACTTCACTTTATTTAAGGGGAAGATGCTGTTAATTACAGCAATAGAGAAAAGATGTATTTTTTTTTTTTTTTTTAACCTTACAAAGCCTAACTGGGAACCTGCTTTAGGAGAAAACTCTTAATACTCTGCTTTTGGCTTTGAATCTTCAAAGCCAAAAACAACAAACTTGTAAGAAGTGCTCTGCCATATTAAAAAGCTAGAGTCAAATAAGGTTATGTCCCCATGAATTGGAATCTTTTTCAAACTAGGCACTATGATACCAGAAAAAGTGAGTGAAGGCTTCTGAGAAATACTGGGCTGATAATTGATCATGTAAAATTCCCCCTCCAAATCTACTTTAAATCATCAGTGTTTCAGTGGCGTAGCCAAATTTGGTAGAATTTCTGCCAGAAATTTCAGCTAGTATTTGCTTTATTTTTTGTCAACTATCCATCAAATACTGCTGTTAAGTAGATGTTCCTTTTCCAAAGGCAGCATATTTTAAAGAATATTTTTAGCTTTTGGCCAACTATAATCAGTAGCAGAAGGAAGTTCTATTAATCATACTTAAGTGCACTTACTCTATTAAAAAAAAGACTTATTGAGTATCTATTGTGAGACAAGCAATGTACTAAATATTGGGTGGGTACAGAGATGACTAGGACAGGGATCCTACTGCACGGGGCTTCCTTTATTATAGCAAAGACTCACGCAAAACTATCCACAAAGTAGATAATAGAAGAGCCATAAAAGAGTTAAAAAAATAAACCCCAAAAGATCAACAAATGAAGAAACATTAAAATTGAGACTTAAAATACAATATAGGTTTGAAACAAATGGTAATGGAATAATAAAGGTTGCTTCAGAAAAATTACAGCCCATATGGAAGAGGAAACGAAGAGTTCAATTTGGCTGGAATATAAGACACAGGAAGTAGGAGATAGATTTGTTCAATTAACTGGAGCTAGACTATGAAAGCCAGAGACTTGAGTGCCAGAGTAAGGATTTGAACTTGATTATTTAGTTGAGAGCAACAAAATAATTTTTGCATTTAGAGGTAAGAAGTAGAGGAACCCACCTTAGGTTGGTCCTTCAAGAAAATACGGTGTTGGATCCTCTGGAGTATACAAATCTCTCCCTCATCAAATCTCAACAAAATCTCTCCTTCTTTGAGGTCAAAGAAAAAAGGGGGAAAGGGATTGCACGGAGGTTCACAAAAAAGGAAGGTTCATGTGAGGGACTTCATGGAATAGATGGCACTTGAGAGGTTCCTTGATAGATTATCTATTAAACCATGTCTCCATTTAATCTTTCATCTCTTCCTCTAATAGATCAGCATTCAATCCAACTCTTTAGGCTCACACATTTTAAAAGCTTTCCTTTGACATCTACCCGTCTGTCCCCTTCCAGCTATCGAACTGTCTCTCCTGTACCAAGTTTACTGACAGAGTTGACTGTCCAGGACCCCCTCCCTTACCACCTTTCCTGCGCACTCTTCCACCATCATCTCAGCCCCTCACCACTCCTCCCCCTCCCAGGCTGACAATGCTAAGGTTATCCACGACTCCCACGCTGACGAATCCAAAAGACATTCCACTTGATACAAGTGGTCACTCCTTCCTTCTTAAAAACCTCTTCTAATTCCCCTCACTTGGCAGTTTCACAACTCCTCTTTGTTCTCCTTTTCTAGCTTCTCCATAACCCAGGCCTCAGTGTTGAGAGTTCCTAAGAACTTGGCATTTCCCAACTCTTCCCTCATCCACAGAATGAACAGATCCATTTTAAATACCACATAAATAGCATATATGCATATGTGTCCCCAAGACCCAGATTTCTCCACCCTTCCCAGACTTCTTTCTGAACAAATCTGTATATCTGTAGACATCTCAAGTTGACATTTCAGCCATCTCAAATTCAACAAATCAAAAATTCAACTGTCTGCTCCTCTTCCGTCTCCATAAAAGGCACCTCTGGGCCAGTGAGTCCAACCAGAGACCCATCATTTCTCACAGTTTCTCACACACACCTCCTTCTTCAATGTCTTCCTATTTACTCCACTTCCAAAATCTACACTGGTAAGGTTTGGATGTCAGGTGTCCCCCAAAAACTCACATATGAGACAATGCAAGAAGGTTCAAAGGAGAAATGATTGGGTTGTGAGAGTCTTGACCCAACCAGTGATTTAATCCCCTGATAGGGATTAATGGAGTGGTAACTGAAGTGGTGGCGTATGGCTAGAGGTGGGAGTTGGGCCGTGGCTTTGGGGTGCCTACCTGTGTCTGGAGAGTGGATCTCTCTCTGCTTCCTGATCAATATGTGAGCTATTTCCCTCAGCACACTCTTCCTCCATAACATCCTGCCTCACCTCGAGCCCTGAGGCATGCCTGCCTCTGGTGGATTGAGAGCCCTCAAATAAACCTTTCCTTCTTTAAAATTGTTCTGGTCAGAGCTAGGGTTACGGCTCAGTGGCAGAGCACTTGCCTCGATATGTGAGGTGCTGGGTTCGAGCCTCAGCACCACATAAAAATAAATAAACAAAATAAAGATGTTGAGTCCATGTAGAACTAAAAAATATTTTTAAATAATTGTTCTGTTCAGATCCTTTAGTCACAGCAGCAAGAAAGCTGACTAAAAGATACGCCAAACCCATTCTCTTCTCTTCTGCCACCTCCTGCCTAACCCAGGCACCCTGATCACTGACTGCAGTGACCCCCCAAGAGTCTCCCTCTGTTCCGCTCTTGCCTCCACTCAGTGCATTTCCCACAGACAGCCAGGATTCTCAACTTGAACTGCAACCCCAACCCTGACGCCCCCTCACCTGAACCCTTCTGGGAACTGTCACTGTTACGAGGGATAAAACTGGGCATGCGAGGACCTCAACGACCTGACCCCATCCTATTCCTCCCTCCACTCCTCAGTTATACCCTCCGTGTTCTAATCACGTTCTCAATTTCTTGACTATTTCCAGGCTTGACATATGCTGATTCCTCCAGCCTGGAAGGCTCTCTCCCCCTTATTCCTCTAATTACTACTCATCCTATAAATCAGGTTCTCAAATAAATTTTCATTGAACCTCCACCTACAATGAGCTTCCTGTCATCTTTTCTTAAGACGCTCTGTTCTCTTCCTCAATTACATAGTTATCTATTTATGTATTTCTTTAATATAAGCCTCTCCACTAGACAATAGATCCTATAAGGTGTTGACATATTCGAATTCAACATGTCAAAAATTAAACTCCTACCCGGCACTGTGGCACACGCCTGTAATTCCAGCTATTCAGGAGGCTGAGGCAGGGGGATCATGAATTCAAGGCCAGCCTGGAAACTGTAGTAAGATCCTCCCATCTTAAACAAACCCCAGCCAGATGTGGTGGCACAAACCTGTAATCCCAGTCACTTGGGAGACTGAGGCAGAGAAATAGCAAGTTCAAGGCCAAGTTCAGCAACTTCATGAGACCCTAAGCAACTTAGCAATACCCTGTCTCACAGTCAAAAATAAAAAAGAGCTGGGAATGTAGCTCAATGGTAAAGCATCCCTGAGTTCAATCACCAGTTCAAAAAAATCTCGATAATCTCCTCATCAGACCTAGACCTTCCCAGCCCCCCTCACACCAAATAATGGCAATCCCATCACTTAGTTGTTCAGAACAAAAACCTCAAAATCATCTTTGACCCTCTTTCTCTCATATTCCACATCCAATCCATCCAAACTCCTGCTATCTCCATGTTAGAACTATATCTAGAATTAGGTTACTTCCCACCATTGTCCAACCATTACATCTCATGCCCAAATTACTGAAAAAGGCTCCTCTAGGTAGTCTCTGCCTTTGCCGCCCTATTTGCTGTCCTCCACAGTGTTGCCCAATGTCCCCTCAAGTCAGAAAGCAGTAACCCCCCATCGTTCACTCTACTTTCTACCCTACTTTACTTTTCTTCATAGCACTAAATCATTAGTAGATTTCTGTTTAATTTCCTCCCCCAACTGAAATGATGTATCCATTGGTGTATATCCAAGCACCTGGAATGTGCCTTGATATTTATTTTTATTTTTTTAATTTTTTATACCTTTATTTTATTTGTTTATTTTTATTTATAAAATATTGGGCTGGGGTTGTGGCTCAGTGGTAGAGTGCTCACTGGGATTGAACCCAGTGTCTCACCCATGCTAGGCAAGTGCTCTACCACTGAGCCACAACCCCAGCACTGCCTTGATATCTATTAAAGAAATAAAAAGAGAGAAGATATCATTTGGGCAGGCAGAAATTTGGGATAGGGGAAAGGTTGCAGAAGCCAAACCTATCTCAAGAGATTTGAATATCAACAAAAATGTTCCAAGGTGCTGGGCACAGTGGCACACACCTATAGTAATCACATATCTATAGTAATCTGGAGGTTGAGGCAGAAGGATCACAAGTTTGAGGCTAGCCTTGGCAACTTGATGAGATCTGTCTCAAAATTTTTTAAAAAATGGGCTGGGATTGTGGCTCAGCGGTAGAGAGCTCACTTAGCATGGGTGGGACCCGGGTTCAATTCTCAGCACCACATAAAAATAAAGGCATTATGTTGTGTCCATCTACAAAAAAGATTCATTCTCTCTCTCTCTCTCTCAAAAAAAAATTTTTTTAAATATTGGGTGGGGGCTGGGGTTGTGGTTCAGCAGTAAAGCACTAGCTTAGCATGTGCAAGGCCCTGGGTTTGATCCTCAACACCACATAAAAATAAATAAACAGAATAAAGGTATTGTGTCCAATTACAACTAAAAAATAAATGTTTAAAAAAATATTGGGCTGGGGTTGTGGCTCAGTGGTAGAGTGCTCACCTAGCACGTGTGAGGCACTGGGTCTAATTCTAGCACCACATATAAGTAAACAAAATAAAGGTATTGTGTGTCCATCTACAACGAAAAATATTTTTTTTAAAAATTTTAAAATATTTCTTGTAAAAGGGCTGGGGATGTAACTCAATGATAGAGTGCTTCTGGGTTTAATCCCGAGTACTGGAGAAAAACAAAT